AATAACGCTATCAAATAAAATAATAGTTGTCGGAGATTTTAATATCCACTTTGACAATCCTCAAGATGCACTAAGCAAGGCATTTACATCTATTATAGACTCCATTGGTTTCACCCAATTCATAAAGGGGCCCACACACTACCACAACCACACTCTAGACTTCAGCTGTCCATCTAATCCTGCTGAGTTAGATACTATGACCAAGCTCTTACAGGATAATTTTCAATCTACTCTAGATAGTGTGGCTCCATTAAAAAGTAAAATAAAAAGGCAGAAAAAACTCGCCCCTTGGTGTAATGATCACACTCGGGCTTTAAAACAGACTGCCAGACAGAGCGAAAATGGCACCTCACTAAGCTAGAAGTGTTCCAGTCCGCCTGGAAGGAGAGCCTTATAGACTATAGAAGAGCACTTGCTACAGCATGCTCAGCCTATCTCTCCCCTCTCATAGAAAACAATAAAAATAATCTTAGATTACTTTTCAGCACAATCTCTAAAATAACAGAGAACAAAACAGTTAGTGAACCGCAGATGCCATTAGCCTATAGCTGAACTTCTTCAGTGACAAAATTGAAATTAGGCAGAAAATTCAGAATACACAATTAAACTCCTCAAACCTGCTTCCCCCCAAAATGCTAGCCTCAATCTTGAGAATACTATAAACCCTGCAGAAAGGCTTAAATCATTTACCTTACTTCAAGAAAATGAACTAGTTAAAATCGTTTCTTCCGCAAAATCAACTACTTGTATGTTAGATCCAATTCCAACAGGTTTACTCAAGGAAATTTTGCCAGAAATAACCAAGCCTATTCTGTCAATAATAAACTCCTCTCTTAGCCTTGGATGCATCCCAAAAACTCTCAAACTAGCAGTAATTAGACCACTGATTAAGAAAGCTAACCTCGATCCCTGCGAACTATCAAATTATAGACCCATCTCGAATCTCCCCTTTATATCTAAGATCTTGGAAAACGTTATTGTAAAACAATTTAGTTCCTATTTGCATAGGAATCAAATCCATGAAAAATTCCAATCTGGCTTTAGGCCACATCGTAGTACAGAGACAGCACTAATAAAAATTGTAAATGATCTATTACTATTCCCCGACCAAGAAAGTGTGTCCTTGTTAGTCCTCCTCGATCTTAGTGCAGCATTTGACACAATAGACCACTCTATCTTACTAGACAGACTAGAAAACCTTGTAGGAGTAACAGGAACAGCTCTTTCCTGGTTCAGGTCCTACCTCACTGATCACTATCAGTTTGTTAATATAAACAGTGAATCATCTGTCCTCGCAAAAGTAAAGTATGGTGTTCCACAAGGCTCTGTTTTAGGACCTGTATTATTCACATTATAAATGCTACCACTGGGCACCATTATCAGTAAACACGGCATAAACTTCCACTGCTATGCCGATGACACTCAGTTATACTGAGCAAGCAAACCAGATGATAAAATTAAACTTAGCAAGATTGAAGACTGTATGAAAGATGTAAAAGACTGGGTAACTTTCTCCTTCTAAACTCCGATAAAACAGGTTCTACTTCTTGGTCCAAAAGCGGCTAGAAACAGACTGTCTAATTTAACACTTAAACTTAACAATTTCTCAGTTGCATCAAGCTCATCTATTAAAAGTCTTGGTGTCATTATAGACCCTGATCTGTCCTGCGACGCACATATAACTAATATTACTAGAACAGCCTTCCTGCATCTCAATATTGCAATATTTAGCAATATTGCTAAATTGAGAAATGCATTATCTCTACAGGATGCAGAAAAGTTAGTTTGTGCATTTATTACTTCAAGGCTAGATTACTGTAATGCCTTGCTGTCTGGATGTCCCAGCAAAAGCCTTAACAAGCATCAGATAGTCCAGAACGCTGCAGCCAGAGTTCTTACTAGAACCAGAAAGTTTGACCATTTTAGCCCAGTTTTATCAACACTGGTTACCAGTTAAATTTGGCATTGATTATAAAATTCTCTTTCTGACCTATATAGCTCTAAACGGACTCGCCCCTCAGTACCTGAGTGAACTTCTCTCTCACTATGAACCATCACGCCTACTTAGATCACAAGGTGCTGGCTTACTATTAGTACCTAGAATTAATAAAGTTACGTCAGGGGGGAGAGCTTTCTCATACAAAGCCCCCCGGCTTTGGAATAATCTTCCTATTAATGTTCGGGACTCAGCCTCAGTCTTTAAGTCTAGGCTAAAAACTTACTTGTATAGTCAAACCTTTGGTAATTAGTTTTCCCTGTCAGTTCTATACCTGCCAGAGTCTCTGCTGCTCTGCTAACACTTCAATCTGTGATCAGTCACCCATTACAGAACTGACTCTCTGTGTTTTTCCTTTCCTTTCTTTCTTTCCTTCACCGAGTTGAACAGCTGCCCATCCTGTGCATTCTGATGCTGCTGCCTCTCTGCCTTGATCGGGTGCCACTGCTCGCCAGCCCTCTGGACCGGCTTGACCACCATTGAGCTTCTTGCTGTACAATGCCGTGCAAACCTCACCCTCACAATCCCGACCCCACTGATGTTGCTGTTGCATAAACTAATCAAATTAATCATTTGAACTAATCAATCATTTAAACTAATCAAATTAATCAATCACCCATTACAGAACTGACTCTCCGTGTTTTTCCTTTCTTTCTTTCCTTTGCCGAGTTGAACAGCTGCCCATCCTGTGCATCTGATGCTGCTGCCTCTTCTGCCTTGATTGGGTGCCACTGCTCGCCAGCCCTCTGGACCGGCTTGACCACCATCAAGCTCCAAGCTGTACTACGCCGTGCAAACCTCACCTGACCCCACTGATGCTGATGCTGCTGCATGAACTAAACTAATCAAATTAATCACTGCTCCACCTGTTTTCCCTGTTTTTGTACTAACAAAGTTTACTATCCGGTGTCGACCAGAGGAGGATGGGTTCCCCTTCGGAGTCTTGGTTCCTCTCAAGGTTTCTTCCTGTTTCCCTAGGGAGTTGCCACTGTCGCCACTGGCTTGCTCATGGGGACTTGGACCCGGATTTCTTTCTGTAATGCTGATTTCCTTGTAAAGCTGCTTTTGTGTTTTGTGTCTTTGCTGTTTTCCGTCGACCAGAGGAGGATGGGTTCCCCTTTTGAGTCTGGTTCCTCTCGAGGTTTCTTCCTCCTGTTGAGGGAGTTTTTCCTTGCCACTGTCGCCATAGCTTGCTCAATGGGGGCATGGACCCGGATTCTCTGTAAAGCTACTTTGTGACAGCAACTGTTGTAAAAGGCGCTGCATTGAGGATATGGACCGGATGCAGTACCACATTTGGCCCTAATCAGATACAGTGTACGTTTATTGTCTGGGTACCTAAATCTTAGCTTTGGACAGTTTCTAATTGGGAGCAACATAATCATAACAACTGACAAGGAAAACACTTAATAATTGAAATTTCTGAAACCAAAAAAAAAAAATGACTGATTCAGCTACAGTATGGCACTGTGCACACAGTAGCAGAGTCTTATATGAAAATCCATTTCTCTGCTTTGGAGCGTAGCATGGGCATGATTCTTGAACTCTCTGGGTAGTCATAAAGAGTTCTTGCCTTTGGGGGTAGTTCTGAATTAATAATAATTTGAGAAGGTAGCTATTAAATGTAAAGGTTTACATAAACCTTAAAATAAATTATCAGATTTAACTTTAAATCTCGCTGACTTCCCAGTTATACCAGGTTCAGCAGCAAAAAATCTTGGTGTAATACTCGATCCAGATTTATCATTCGATCAACACATAGGCAGTATCACTAGGACAGCTTTTGTACATCTTCGCTATATCGCCAGAATAAGAAATGCCTTATCGCTGCATGACGCAGAAACATTAGTACATGCCTTTATTACCTCAAGGCTAGATTACTGTAACGCACTACTATCAGGATGCACCAGCAGGAATTTAAGTAAACTTCAACTAGTTCAAAATGCTGCAGCCAGGGTTCTCACTAAAACTAGAAAATTTGATCATATCAGTCCAGTTCTATCATCACTCCATTGGCTGCCTGTTAAATTCCGTATTGATTACAAAATTCTTTTATTGACGTATAAAGCCCTACATGGGCTCGCTCCTGAGTACCTGCAAGACCTTATTTCCCATTACGAGCCACCACGATTACTCAGATCACAGAGTGCTGGCTTTTTAATAGTTCCCAGAATTCAGAAGGTTTCATCTGGGGGAAGAGCCTTTTCTCATAAAGCCCCCAAACTCTGGAATGATCTTCCAGAAAATGTTCGGGACTCAGACTCAGTCGCAATATTCAAATCTAGGCTGAAAACTCACTTGTTTAGTTTAGCTTTTGGTAGCTAATGTTTCCCCTTGGCTAAAGGCAGCAGAACCAGGGGTCCATGGACACAGGGAATTATAGTAAACTGAGACGCTGGTGCTGTCGTCCCGCCGCTCACACGCGAACACTCAGGTTTGTGGAAGGTGGAGCGGAGGGATGCCAGATTGTTTCAGGGTGCTCCAGTGTCTGTGTGCCCTTTTGGTTCTCTCCTTTTAGTTAAGCTGTTATAGTCAGATCTGCCGGAGTCGTTAGCCACACTCTGGAAATGTTTTACATACTACTATACATACACCCATACAGAAACTAAACTAACTCCATTTCCCTACCTTTCTTCCGAGAAAACGACTGCCCACCTGTCCGGCCGGACACTGCTGGATGATTGTTTGTAGAGCTCTCCGGCTACCCGCTTCAGACCAGTTACCCACAACCCAGTCACCGCCACCTGCCTTGGACTGGCTGCCCACTCTACACTGAAGTCTCCTAACTATTACTACCTCCTAACTATTACTACTACTACTACTATTAATATTAGTAGAATAATAATTTTGTATGTAGTTTGACCAGAGGAGGATGGGTCCCCCCATGTGAGCCTTGGTTCCTCCCAAGGTTTCTTCCTCAGCTCTGAGGGAGTTTTTCCTTGCCACTGTCGCCCCTGGCTTGCTCACCTGGAGGATTTACATTTCATGTTGAAACTTTGTTCTAAACGGATTTCTGTGAAGCTGCTTTGTGACAACATCAGTTGTAAAAAGCGCTATACAAATAAATTTGATTTGATTTGATTTGATTTACATCATGTCACGGCTTACTTCACACAAAAGGGAAGAAATGTAGATCTCTTTGGGGGGCCTTAACAACTCTATGGATTGTTTATGGTGTGAAGGTGGGGGGATTTGAAAAAGGGTAAATGACCTCCTATGAAGAGTCCTAAAAAGTTGATGCCTTTAATCCTGTGACAGCCTGTAGGGAGACTCTCTGTCTCACAGATCGGCTGCCTAGATGGTGGTGGTTTAAATAAATAAACTTGTGCTTGGAATGTGACAGTAAAATGGACCAGTCATTTACTAAAAAGTGAATTTCAAAAGAAGAATAGATTATGAAATTTAATAGGATTTTTCAAGTTTGCAAGAACATAAAAAATAATAGAGAACAATAAGAATAATACAGAAAATGAAGAACAATAATCTCAACCGGTCAGCATGTTCACAAAACCACACATTACCTCACATGGAAAGGCTTAATTAAACAAAAGCCTAAAAAATGAAGCAGGCTGAGAGAGAGAGAGAGAGAGAGAGAGAGACGGGGTGAAGAGAAGGATGATCTTATATTATTGAATGTAGAGCCTCTTGATTTTTATATACATATATTACATATAAAACACATTTTGGGGGAATCTGAAGTACCACATCTCATTGTGTGTAAGAGCGTGACTTGTTGTTCAGTACAGGAAAACACAATGGTTATGTTTTACAAAAAGGGTAAAGCAATAAGAGGTGGTTTTCCTCTAAAATATCTTGAAATCTGACATAGAATTACCGTTTCCTGCAAACTTTTACACCCAGAATGTGTTAAGGTTACACTTATTACTCCTGGTATCAGCTCTTAGTGCACTTGTGTGTCTTCAGTCTTTCAGTCTTTGAAAACCTGAAACTCTTCCCACACTCTGAGCAGTGAAACGGTTTCTCTTCTGTGTGAATGCGCTGGTGTATTTTGAGAGCACTCTGTTGAGTAAAACTCTGTCCACACTTTGAGCAATGATATGGTTTCTCTCCTGTGTGAATGCGCTGGTGTATTTTGAGAGCACTCTGTTGAGTAAAACTCTGTCCACACTTTGAGCAGTGATACGGCTTCTCTCCTGTGTGAATACGCTGGTGTGTTTTGAGATTACTCTGTTGAGTAAAACTCTGTCCACACTCTGAGCAATGATATGGTTTCTCTCCTGTGTGAATACGCTGGTGTGTTTTGAGATGACTCTGTCGATTAAAACTCCGTCCACACTCTGAGCAGTGATATGGCTTCTCTCCTGTGTGGATGCGCTGGTGTGTTTGAAGATGGTACTGTTTAGTAAAACTTTTCCCACACTCTGAGCAGTGATATGGCTTCACTCCTGTGTGAATGTGCTGGTGCTGTTCGAGATTACTCTTTTGAGTAAAACTCTTCCCACACTCTGAGCAGTGATATGGTTTCTCTCCTGTGTGAATACGCTGGTGTGTTTGGAGATTAATCTGTGCAGTAAAACTCTTCCCACAGTCTGAGCAGTGATACGGCTTCTCTCCTGTGTGGATGCGCTGGTGTATGTTGAGTTTACTCTGTTCAGTAAAACTCTTCCCACACTCTGAGCAGTGATATGGCTTCTCTCCGGTGTGGATGCGCAGGTGTATTTTGAAATTACTTTGTGTAGTAAAACTCTTCCAACATTCTGAGCAGTGATACGGCTTCACTCCTGTGTGAATGTGCTGGTGCTGTTCGAGATTACTCTTTTGAGTAAAACTCTTCCCACACTCTGAGCAGTGATAAGGTTTCTCTCCTGTGTGGATGCGCTGGTGTGTTTGGAGATTACTTTGTTTAATAAAACTCTTCCCACATGCTGAGCAGTGATATGGCTTCTCTCCTGTGTGAATGCGCTGGTGTATTTTGAGTTTACTCTGTCTAGTAAAACTCTTCCCACACTCTGAGCACTGATAGGGCTTCTCTCCAGTGTGAATGCGCTGGTGCTGTCGAAGAGTCCTCTGTTCAGTAAAACTCTTTCCACACTCTGAGCAGTGATACGGCTTCTCTCCGGTGTGAATGCGCTGGTGCTGTCGAAGAGTCCTCTGTTCAGTAAAACTCTTTCCACACTCTGAGCAGTGATACGCCTTCTCTCCTGTGTGGATGCGCTGGTGTGTTTTGAGAGCACTCAGTGCAGTAAAACTCTTTCCACACTCCAAGCAGTACTGATTTATCTCTTTGCTGTGTTCCTGTGTTTGTGTGCGTGATGTGTTCGTGTGGGGGGTACCAGATGACGTTTGCAAAGTACCAGAACATCTTCTGGATGCCATATTCTTATATAAATACCTGTTTAGGCAGCGTAACTTTCTTCTTGGTGGAATGTCCTGCAGTGTCTAAGGATGCACATTTAAGCTAAGTAGGAAAGTGCAGGAGAAGACTTGAAACAGGACATTGTTCATTTCTGAAAGAAAAAAAAGAAAATATAAACTTAATTTGCAATGCAACAAAACTAGTCTAATCCAAATCAAGAATTACATCTACTGGCAGAAAGTGTAAGGAAAGAATAAATTTCCATCTGATGAGGAAAAGCCAATAATCGAATTACTCAAACTCCATAAATACACACACAGACCACTGAAGTCATGTCACCATGCCATGTGTCATGTCACTATGCAGATATTGGCTACACTGCATTTCTTCTTAGCTAAAATGACTGGGATTATTCAAAAACCACCACCATTACATACTGTGGTAAACAAAGTGATCCCAAACTCAATATGCTTTATTCTAAATATTGCCATATTTTTCCACTGAATGTAACTGGATCCTCTGCTTTGCAAGGCCATTAAAGAGCTGAGATAAGAATTTTGCTGCATGTTTATTTTTTTGTTACGTTCTCAGAGCTTATATTCTTATTAGTCCTTAATCTTAGTCATGTATAGACAATTTCAGAGCAAAATAAATTGTGGTCCTTCAAAACTTCTAGGGTGTTCACCCTTCACAGCTATGGACTCATTTGAACTGTAGGTTATTGACTCTCACAAAACAGTACAAAAAATATGAATTAATCTGAACGCTTCCTGCTTATAAACGTCCTCGGTTTGAAATGGCCTTAAGCAATGAAACATAAGGACAACTATTGAAAGTTCTGGAAGACCAAGAAATCTCTCTTAAAAATGCTTGTATACTGTCCAGTTAGGCAAAGCAGAACCCTCCTCTTTACTGCCATAGACCTGTTGGAAGATTTGGCTGGCATGGCAACAGTGATGCACTAGCATACTGTGTAGTATTGTTGCACAAATATCACTAACATGGAAAGATTATCGGATTGTAACATTTCTCAATGCAAGATTGCAAAGAATTTAGCTCGTTCACCATCTATCATACATCATTTTCCAATAAGATTCAAGGAATCCAGAGAAATTTCAGTCCATGTAGGTCAAGGCCAGGAACAACTGTTGAATGTGTAACCCCTATGTATGTGAACATAACACCAGTGACAGTGACCGTTATAGCAATGACATCATAGACAATTCAACCTTAAGAATTCCCTTCATAAAAGATATTGTATTTTAACTATAATACTAATTACTTTAAATGAACATCAGATGAAATATGAAATACACATTAGAAACGCTTTTGCTACAAATGTGCGCAACCTTTGAATCCTTAGACAGGACTGCATGAGAAACTGTCATTCTGCTGTGTTAAATATAGCCAAATGAGCTCAGAAGTACTTTAGAAAATTGTTATCACTTAACACAGACAACTGCAGTATCAACAAGTGCAACTTGAAACTCTATTATGCAAGGAAAAAGCCACACATCAATTCTAAGAAGAAACACTGCCAAGTTCTCTAGGCCCAAGCTCATTTCAGATGGTCTCAAAGAAATGTGTGCTGTGCAGATGAGTCCATGTTTCAGCTTGTTTTTTGTGAAAAATGGATAGAGTTTTTCAGGCCAAACAATAAAGCATCAAGACTTTTATCAGTGAAAGGTTCAAAAGCCAAGATCTCTCATGGTATGGGGCCATCAGTGCCCACGGTGTGACTGATTTGCATACATGTGAAGGCACCATTGACACAGAGGAGTGTATCAGAATTTTAGATGGATATATACAGCCATCAAGACAATGTCTTCTCTTAGGAAGCCCATGATTATTTCAGCAAGACAATGCCAGGCCTCATTCGGCATTTGCTACAACAGCATGGCTGCGTAGACATAGAGTGTGTGTGCTTGAATGGCCTGTCTGCAGACCGAATCATTCCTGTATTGCAAGTGTATGGCATATCCTGAAGAGGAGCATCAGGCAACAACAACCACAGACTGTTGATCATCAAGTCTTGTATCAAGCAAAAACAATTAGTGCAATTACAATTAGTACCACTGTACAATTACTAAGGTACTATGGTACAATTAGTACCATCAATTACCAAATAATTAAAAAGTATAATTAAAAAGAAAGGTGATGTAACAGTGCTAAAAAAGGCCTTTTTCCCAACTTTTTAGTATGTTGCAGGAATCCAATTCTGACTGTATTTGTATTTTCAAAATACAGTTGGTCAAAGTTAATCGGTGACAACATTTGAAGTCTTTTCTTTCTGTGCTATTCTGAGTTAAATAAAGAGAATTAACAAATCACTTCGTTGTTTTTACAAGATGTCCTAACTTTCCAAAGCTGTTGTTTGTAGTAAACTCAGCAAATAAATGGTAACATTGTACTACATTTCTATGAGTGTATTTGTTTACTCCATGCTAATGTTCATTTGAAACCCAAACCTTTCCAAAACTTACTAACATACAACCGTATGAAGGAAGACAGAAAACTGTATGAAGTGTTTTTTTTCTGTATTTCTATGTTTTCTGTGTTAAACATAAAGGAGCAATTGAACCATCATTAGCTTATCTGTGGTTTAGAGTTTAACCTGAACAAGTGGGTTCTTAAACTCCACCATTGTGTTCTCAGCAGCTGTGGTTTAAAATGCATCTGTGGTTTAAAATAAACCCAAATATGGTGTCACCTAAAATTCACGCATCTGCCACTAGATTGTGGTGTATATCAGGTTTAACTGAGGTTTATCTTAAATCTGCATTTGTCAGTTCAGATATTTTATTATTGTATATCTAGAACCATATACCTTGCACCATAATGCTTTGTGGACTTCACGGCCTGCATCAAGATGGCACCTTGTGAGTACTTTCTGATTGTTTGCCAAGGGTTTTTGCACTATAGACACCAAACTTGTACAGTCTGCCCTGGTCCTCACTCTACTTTTTTCTCTGTTCATGACCACGTCTGGAGATCCCGTACAGAGCCCTATTGTTTACAGTAGGGATCAACTGTTAGTGTTAGGTGCTGCCGGATGAGAAACCTGATATCTGCTGTAAGGACATTGAACTGTTACCATGAGGCTGTTCTACCTACCGAGGAAATTCTCACTCATTATCACAATAGCTGCGTACGTTCTAACGCTGATGATGCCCTGCACACAGCTGTAAGCAGGCTGCAGACACAGCACCCACAGGCCCTCATTCTGATCTCAGGGGATTTTAACCATGTTTCTCCATCCTCCTCTCTGACGAACTTCACACAGTATGTAACATGTCACACCAGAGACAATACAATATTGTATCTGTTTTATGCCAACACGAAGGAGGCATATAACTCATCGCCTCTCCCTCCCCTTGGAAAATCAAATCATAACTTGGTTCATCTTCTGCCTGTGAACAAACCACTTGTACATGGGGGAGCCAACTGTCACCTGCACAGTGAAGAAATGGTCTGGGAAGACTGAAGAGGCTCTGAAAGACTGTTTTGACACAGCTGTGTCGGAGGAACTGTGTGATCCTTATAGGGAGGACATTGACAGTCTCACAAACTGTATAACTGACTATATAAACTTTATGCAATAAACTTGTACGAGGAAACATTTAGAGTGAGCTGTCCAATCTTATCCATAAAGGGCCGGTGTGGCTGTGTTTTTCTAACAATGCAGGAGCTCACATGATCGTTGATTGAGGACTGAGACCAAATGATTAGAGAAGAGTCATGTGTGGTCCTGCTGGTTTAGAATGAAAACCAGGAGCCACAGCGGCACTTTGTTAATCAGATTGGACACCGTTTTTTTTAGAGAAATTACACCCTTCAGATGTCTGGTACCTATCACCACCACTGTGCCACAATTCTGAAGCGTTTTAGAACAAGCCACACTGAATGACTCTGTTTACATCTTAACCATTTAATAATGCTGATTTTTTTTTAAAAAACATGTAATACCCCTTTAAGTATTGCTACAATGAGGCAGGTGGGGATGCCGAAGCCCAGGATCTGAGAACTGACATCCAACCAGAAATGATGGATATGAGGACAAAACCAGAAGGTGTGACGGTGACTGTCAACATGTCACTGTTGTTTTGCAAGTTGAGCTCACATGATTGTTCTATATCTGCAGTCCATTTTTCAACTGGAAATGATCTTGTGATGTGTGTGTGTGTGTGTGATAATATTTTAGGTTTTTAAAGCTGTGTAGTTGAGCAGGAGTTCCTAATGTTGATGATTTTCCTCTTTGAGCTATATACATTATATATATATATATATATATATATATATATATATATATATATATATATATATATATATATATATATATTTGAATTAAAAGATAAAAGTCTAAACTTCAATCAAATCATGACTGCTTCATTTCAAATCCATTGTGTTGGTGTACAGAGGCAAAATTAAAAAACTTGTCATTGTTCAAATACTTAAGAACCTGACTAGATACATCTACAGCTTTAGGCACTCACCCTTTATAAAAGTGATACCTAATTCTCTGCCGAAAATCAGTTTCTGTATCTTGAAAACTCGGTCTTTGAATCTGTGGCTATGGAAAACAATCATAAATCACTTGCAAGTCCATATACAGCGGCATGCAAAAGTTTGGGCATCCCTGGTCAAACTTTCTGTTACTGTGAAAAACTAAGTGAGTAAAAGATGACCTGATTTCTAAAAGCCATAAAGTTAAAAGATGACAATTCTTTAATATTTTAGGCAAGACTACTTTTTTGTCTGCATGATTTACAGTTTCAAAGTAACCAGAGAGTGTCTAAAGCAAACATTTGGGCACACTGCACAGTCAGAACTTAGTAACAACTCCTTTGGCAAGTATCACAGCTTGTAAATGAGTCTTTCAATTTTTGTTTGGGGGATTTTTACGCATTCTTGCTTATAAAAGCCTTTCAGTTCTGTAAAATTCTTGGGCTGTCTAGCATACACTGCTCTTCTGAGGTCCAACCCCAGATTTTGGATGATGTTTAGGTCATTGCAAAACCTTCAGCTTGTGCCTCTTAAGGTAGTCCAATGTAGATTTTGTGGTGCGTTTAGGGTCATTATCCTGTTGTATAAGTCATCCTCTTTTCATCTTCAGCTTTTTTTTTTTACAGACGGTGTGGTGTTTGCTTTCCAGAATTTGCTGGTGTTTAACTGAATCCATTCTTCCCTCTACCAGTGAAATGTTCCCTGTGCCACTGGCTGTAACACAAGCCCAAAGCATTATCGATACACCTCTGTGCTAAACAGTTGGAGAGGTGTTCTTTTCATGAAATCCTGCACACTTTATTTCTCCAAACAAGTTCTATTTTAACTTTATTTCTAAAATGCGTTAGGGTGGCTTAGACGTTCCTCTGCAAATTTCTGATGCTGAATGTTGTGGTGAGGATGCAGGAAAGGTTTTCTTCTGATGATTCCTCCATGAAGGTCATATTTGTGTAGGTGTCACTGCACGGTAGAATAACACACTGATCTTGCTTAAAACATCTAAAAGAATATTTCATCTTTACTTTTATGCCTTTCAGAGATCAGTTCAGCTTCTACTCACTTAACTATTCCTATTAACAGTTAAGTTGACCAGCAGTGCCCTAACTTGTCATTTAGCACAAAACAGGGGTATAGGACACCATTTCAGCATCATCATCACAAGTGGCACATGCTACAATTTCTTTTGCTTCATACAAAAGGAAAACTTGCACAGCTCTCATATTTCATGATGACTCTACAAAAGAAGTCTGTCTGCTTCAACATACTTTACTCTGATTGATTTATATAAGTTACAAAGTCCTAAACTACTTGTCTGAAGTCAAAAATCAACTGTCAGGCCTGACAGTTACCAAACAACTAAACACACACAGTAATGTAAACATGTTGAAAATTTAAGTTAGTTAGCCACACAGCTAATGTTACTGATGCTAAATAGGTCATAACAAAACTAAAGTGTGATAAACTGGATTTGATGAATAAAATACATTAACATACTGACATTAATGCATGACCATGAGGCACATATTAAGGCACTATTTTTTCTGCTTATTACACTAAGACACCCCTGTGTCACACTGAATAAAATGTTCTCAAATCAAATGCTGTGTATCTTCACATGCCTAGTAAAGAATTACATAGAGTTACTAATGTGAAATTTAATGACTGTGCAAACTGATCATGGTCAGAATGAATGACAGTCAGCACAAACAATCACAGTCAGGAGATTATGTAATAATTGTAAGAAGTCAGGCCTATTGTTATTTTAATATGGAAATCTCACCCTGTGATGCTGCCATGGCAACAGCCCTATTGACTATTAAAAAAAAACCACAGACCACAGAGATCTGCAGGAAGAATAACTCCATCATGAATATGACCACCTGCCCCATCACATCTGAATTAGACCATCAAGCTTTTGAATGGCTCTCCCACTCTACACCCCCCTAGAACAAACTCCCCAAACAGACCACCGCAAACACCCATCATAGACACTTCTACCAGCTCTTGCCATTAATGTGCACCCCCACCTAGACATTCACAGCTCTCAGGATGCACTTCATATTGTTCTAGAACACACTACTATTTATTCTCCACATTTGTACATATAATGGACTCATTGATATTTATTTGCGAATTTGATATTGACTTTGTTTATATTTAGCTACACTAGCTAGAATCCACTGCTAACAGCGGCTATTTTCCCAAACTATTATCCAGCTAACATAAAGCAGCTGAATCACATTTACCAGAGATTTTGTACTCATGTCTTTAAAAGGCTGATTGTACAGACAATAAACCACTATTAATGCAATTTCTCTGACATCAGCTCAGTATAAACAGCTAAAATTAGTGTAAAGTCTATTTGTGTTTATGTAATTCACAATTTACTGAAAGAACATCTGAAATTCAATACATGCAATTCATGTCATTACATAAAACACCTTGGACCTGTAATGTAGAGGATCAGATTCAACCTTAAAAAGACTCCAGAACACATTACTAGTCTGGTTGAGTCATTTGCTGCAGGATAAACACTAATTTTAAGATTATACTAAGCAGTAACATTCTAACCCATATCCTACAAATAAATACAAAAAAAGAATAATCACTTAATCACATGATCAACTGCTGCAGCCAGTGTATAAACCCACTTTAAGCTTTGTGTATTCTTATAAAAACACCTCCATATCATACACAGAAAGGGAAAAGCCACATCTGCTGCTCCTCAGACTCACAGCCCATTTACAAACCACCATCTGAGACACCCAAACACACACAAATTAAGATATTTACATTAACTATCTGAATATTTCAGACGGTAGACATCAATAAACACAGCGTGAAGAAACACATAAGTTCCCCAAACCCGATCACAGCAGCTCCTCCTCTAAATCACTGCAGGATGAGCAGCGTTTCCATCAATGAGGCTCTAACAGACATTTAAAGACCCTCATCAGTCAGTTACACCGACATATAAGGACTGAAACCAGCTTAAAGCAGCACTTACAGCTCTAATCTCAGACTGAGTCTCCGTTTCAGAGTCTCCCCCAAACACAACGCGCTGTGTGGAGACTACAACAACAACGAGCGGAGTCCGACCGCAACCGGGAGGATATTTTTCAAAATAAAAGTTTCTAGCGCTCAATACGTTTTATTTAATATTAATGAATGTGCATGTTAATAATTCACTTTCTAAAAAATAGTATAAAACAATTTATAGTTTTACATTAAACAAGCATCACCGCACATGTAGAAGTCTCTCATGCTTTTTTCATACTTTTACTCGTTTTTATATTAATAAAGGACGGACATGGTTTGTCTATTTGTTTTTTAGTTGTCATTATTAATTTGTAAATATTGTATCTTTGGTTGTGTTTTCATAAATGTATTAAAACAATTAGACAAAGATCTTTTTCCTCAGTACATTTAATTTAAAATGCCAATTGTTTCTCTTGTAAAAAATAGCAGTTTAATATCAGATGAAAAGATGTGAAGCTTCCTTCAGCTTTTTGTATTTTGTGAGTCACTCACAGGAACCACAGCACTAAATACACTGAAAGTTGTTAAGATTTTTTTATAAATACAAATCAAGTATATATACAATATATTGTTGACGTTTTTACATTTGAGGCAGCATAAAATACCTTTAACAAAATGTACTTGCACGTTGTAAACTTCAGACAGTCGCCTACACAGAAACCAACCTCACTCCCATTGATCTGCTCATACTTTGGTCTACCAGGTGAGCTACGAGACTCCACTTTTTTTATAAACTGACTGTTGACCATTAAATAATGACATCAGTGGTAAAATCCTTGTCTGACATCATTAGAATTACACAATTTAATTTTTTTTTTTGCTTAATTTGAATGATTGACAGGTTATTCATGTTGTGACTTTTGGTCCTTTATGTCTGATCTGCTTCTAAAGTGCTTTATTTGGTGTGGCAGATTTTCTCACTTGGGTCTATAAATAGGTATAACAAAGGAATTTGATAGACATGAAATATTCTGTCTCTGTACAGTCAGAGAGTCTTTGAAAAAGACAAAAAAGACAAAAATCTGCAAAATAACCGTGTTTCTCTGCAGAACTTTAATGCTGTTGTTTTATTGAAGGTGTGTGATTATAATAATTTAAGAAAAATGTGTAAAATACGTTTTTATCTGTAAAACATTTATTGAAAATTTCTGTAAATGTATTGTTTTTGTGCTTTTTTGAATTTTAATATTTTACTGTAATTGCTGCCAGTCATTAGAGCATTTTTTAAGATTCTTTTTTTTACAGTGCAGAGATGAACAGGCCTGTATCATCATACACAGTAGAGGAAATGATGCCTGTTTCCACAGCAGAATCTCTGTCTACGTACCGAGTAGAGTATTGGATTACTGTCCACAGGGAGTAAATAAGTAAATAAGTACAGCAAAGCAGTACTTTAACATTACTCATTAATGTGTCAATCAGCACTGTTTTAGAGTAATGACCCCAACACCCCAAGGGCTACTACACTAAAATACCTGAATTTTATTAATTTTACTGCATTTGGAACTCTACAGAAATATATTCAGGGTATATACATCACTGTAAAAAAATTTCAGCCCTCTAAACACAGTGTTAAAACCATTTGTCTCACCAGCGAGTGTAATTTAATGTCTACATACCATTAGAATAAATTCAAATAAACATAATTGTAGTAAAAAGTATCAGGATATACGTGTGTGTGTGTGTGATAAATGTGTATGTTTCTGCAACAGTGAATTTGAAATGTCATATTTAAACCCATGGTCTTGTATTTTTCTTCCGTTTAGTGAATCTTTTTCTGTACTCACATTTTAGAAAAAACTCTTTTTTTTATTATTTATTTTGAATAATTTAACCACTGAAAGGTTTAATTTCCCTCATATTTACAGTCTGAGATCAATCTGATAAACAACAAACACTTTTTTACCAACCTGCTCTCTCTCTCTCTCTCTCTCTCTCTGTTAGAGGTTATTCTATCTCACACAGACTCACTGAGGAATCAGATTCAATATAGCATCCAGCGTAGAGTGGCTCAGTGAATGTGGTGGTGAATGTGTGTAGGTGGGTCAGTGTGTGTGTGTCAGGGGAGATGGTGTAGAAGGACAGAGTGCCGGACCCCCAGTCCAGATACACTCCTACTCTGTTAGAGGAGATGAAGGCAGGTAGGATAGTTTCCTGATTATTGTGTCTGACGGAGTAACTGTTCTCAGAGCAGTTCAGACTCCAGGACTGTGGATTAGATCCAAACACACAATCACCGCTGATTCCTTTCCTCCTGATTCCTTTGTATGATACTGATATGCCAGCTTCATCTCCGCTCAACTGAACCTCCCAGTAACAGCGTCCAGTCAGACTCTCCACACTCAGAACCTGAGCATAGTACTCAAATCTCTCTGGATGATCTGGATACAGCTGACTATTACACATAGCCTCCACCTTTCTGTTCCTCTCAGACAGAGAGAGAGAACTTTGTGCTGTGTTTGGGTCCAGAGTGAGATCACACCCATCTGTGTACACACACACACACACACACACACACACACACACACACACACACACACATTAGAGGAGATGTAAACAGAGAATTTTAGAACAGTTTGTGTGCATGTGTAAGATGTGTGTATTTTGTGAATAGCGTGTGTATGAGTGTGCATGAGGATGTGTGTGTGCTGGTGCATAGCGTGTAAAGTGTGTGTGTGTGTTACATTTCTTCAGTCCTGGTTTCATCCTGATCTTCCCTCCATGATCCACCCTGAAGAACAAACACAGAGTTATACATTTATTAAACTTCAGATTAGATCAAAACAAAAATAAAGAATAAAACAGATCATTATGGTATAAACACCCTTAAGACCTTACAGTCCAGATAAAACTAAAATAAAATACAGATAAAATAGATTACATACATTAATGAAGTGAATCAACATTAGATATTAAGCATATTTTAGCTTCACTACCAGTTTACAGAACACTACTGCTCCAAATCACCATCTTCACATTAATACAGTGAACCAACATTAGATATTTAAGTGCTTTAGTTCCACTACCAGTTCACACAAAGCTATCTAATTATTTAGCTTAGTTACACATCTCAGTAATTTACTGTGATGATTTATATACGTGGACTGATGTTCTACAGTTCATTTATTTTTAGTTAAATTATTAACATACATCATTTATAAACATAAATAAACACATCAACAACTACAAGAATTTTTCTATATTCGTACATTTGCACTGATTTGTTCATAGAAGTTAATAGTTATTGCATGATTTATTAAAGTTACAACTCCATTTCCAAAAAAGTTGGGACACTTCATTTAACTCAATAAATCATTTAAACCCTATATTTCCTTGAAAATAGTATAAAGTCAACATATCAAATGTTGAAACTGAGAAATTTTATTTGCCCATTTTGAATTTGATGCCAACATGTTCCCAAAAAGTTGGGACGGGGGCAACAAAAGGCTGGTAAAATTGTGTAATGCTAAAATCACCTGGTGGTTGATTGGCCAGGTCAGTAACATGATTGGGTATTAAAAGAGCATCTCAGAGAGGCGGAGTCTTTCAGAAGTAGAGATGAGGAGGGGTTCACCACTCTGTGAAAGACTGCGCGATCAAATAGTGCAACAATTCAAGAATAACGTTTCTCAACATAAAATAGTAAAGAACTTTTGCTTTTCATCATCTACGGTACATAATAACATTAAAAGATTCAGAGAATTTGGAGAAATCTCTGTATGTAAGGGACAAGGCCAAAAACCTGTATTTGCTGGCCGTGATCTTTGGGCCCTCAGACAGCACTGCATTAAAAACAGATGATTCTGTAGAGGAAATCAATAGCCAGTATTCATGATGGTATAGGGGTGCATTTGTGCACATGGCATGGGTGACATGCACATCTGTGAAGGCACCACTGATGTTGAATGATATATACATGTTTTGGCAACATATGCTGCCATCCAGACGATGTCTTTTTTAAAATAGGCCTTGCTTAATTCAGCAAGACAATGTCAAACCACATCTACATGTATTATAGCAGCATTGCTCTGTATTAGTCCAGGTGCTAAACTGTCCTGCCTGCTGTCCAGACCTGTCACCACTGATAACATTTGGCACATTATTGAATGAAAAATAGGACAAATGAGCCTGCAAAGGGTGGAGCAGCTGAAATTCTATATCAAGAATGGAAAACATTTCACTGATAACAACAGCAATTGGTCTCCTCAGTTCCGAAATGCTTACAGAATGTTGTTAAAAGAAGAGATGAAACACAGTGGTAAACTTTTTTGGAATGTGTTTTTGGCATCAAATTCAAAATGGGCAGAACATTTTCAAAAAACAATACAATTTCTCAGTTTGAACATTTGATATGTTGTCTTTGTAGTATTGTCCTTTAAAAATATGGCTTACATGGTTTGCATATCATTGCATTGTATTTTGATTTACACTCTGCAGTGTCCCAACTGTTTTTGGAAATGGGGTTGTATTATAAAGTGTTACTCCTTTTAGTTTAATCTGAAAAACCATGTTGAAACCTACATACTCTCTCTTTCTCTACTTCTCTCTGTTCCTCTATGCTTGTCTCTCTGATTCTCTTGCTCTTTGGTCCTCCCTGATTACTGAAAAGGTTTACATTAAAAATATGTTGTAAAATTATGTCTATACTCAAACTCCAGCTAACAGGACCATCAGCTGCTCATTTAGCTAATCAGACATCATACTGCCTGATGTATCTACTGATTTCTATGTTGTAGTTAACACTGATATTTTGCCATCAATAAGTCAGTTAACAGTAAACTTTGTCATGCTGTTCGTAGTGTTATGACTACGTAACAAAAGTTTGAACTAATGTTAATTTAATTAATTTGATAGCTAATATGGCAAATATAGCATAATATAGCTAAAATTACTACTGCAGCGGGGCTTTATTTATTTTAGCTAGCAATGTTACAAAAGATCCAAATAAAAAAGCAAATTATGCGGTGTGCACTTTACAAGAATAATCTATTAATTATGCTTAAACATTAATTAAACATTCATTTTTTTCATAGTGATGTTGTATGTTAGTCTGCAATATATGTGCTCAATACCTGAACATTTCAAGAAATTAATTTCACTCTGGGTAGTATTAGCATCTTGTACAGACACAAATATAGCAGGAAGTTAAAGGAATAGTTTGGTGAAAAATTGTATTAGAGAATGTTGTATTAATTACACCACATGGAGTGAGTAATTGAAGACAGCTTTGATATGTGAAGTGTGCTTCTTTAGTCACGCTAGGCTAGCATTTTAAATATCAATCAAAAAACTATATAAACAAGTTAAAAAATAGTAGATCAGCAGAGAGAGACATTATACAATCATTTAAGCTAAAACTGTACTCGTTATCTGTAAATACAATATCTGCATAACATGCCACTTTGTAGTGCTGTAGTAGTTCAACCTGTACACCTCACTTAAGGTACAACACAGAGCCGTGTCATCTGCAAAAATTCTCAGGTGACATGGCCATTGTGGGGTGCATGAGGAATGGACAGGAGGAGGAATACAGGAAGCTGGTGAAGAACTTTGTTGACTGGTGTAAGCTGAACCAGCTGGAGCTAAACATCAGTAAGACCAAGGAGATGGTGCTGGACTTTAGGAAGTCCAAACCTGCCTTGTCACCAGTCACCACTGATGGAGCAGACGTGGAGGTGGTGGGGACCTACAAGTATCTGGGTGTGCATTTGGACAACAAGCTGAACTGGAGCCATAACACTCTAGCGGTGTACAAGAGAGGCCAAAGCCTTTTCAACTTCCTGAGGAGGCTGAGGTCTTTTGGTGTGTGCACTAAGCTCCTATGGACATTCTACCAGTCTGTTGTAGTGAGTGCTTTGTTCTATGCTGTTGTGTTCTGGGGCAGCAGTATTAGCAACAGCGCCTCACATCCCCTGCGTGCTACACTGGATAAACTCATTCAGTGGCCGACTGTTACAGCAGTGCTGTGTGAGATCTTGCTTACCCACTGAATTAAGGCTCTACAAAAAGTCTTCTTACTGCAGAGATGGAACTGATCTTCTGCTGTCTGAACTGTGCTGAACCACATCACTGCATCACCTCTCCTGTTAATACACACTGTGCAATTTATCATAACTGCTACTATAATGACACTCTCACTGCACCCTTTACACTGTAATATTGCTGCAACTCCTAGTTATGTCTATACTCATTGTGCTTTTAGACTACTCTCTTATACTTTAACCTATGTCTTTTCATTACTGCCTAACTTATGCATATTTTTATTTTCTGCATAGTACATGTAAGTTTATTTGTACAATTATGTCTTGCTACTGAAACACTGCAATTTTCTTTCACGATCAATAAAACTCTATCTATCTATCTATTATTCTATTTTATAACTGGCCCAGTGAGAGATGTATGCCAAAACATTACTACACTGTTATTTACATGTTTGTTAGCATAGCTAAAGCTTCATAACTGTAAGACAGTTTGCTAGAAGCTGCATCTAGAATAACATAATGCTACGAAAATTAGGTTTTACATTAAATTTTGTGTAAACAGTAAACAGAACAAAGAAATCTAGGTGCAGTAAAGTAAATATAGTATCACCGATTCCCTAATGATGCAGAAAATTTTTTTTTCTGCCGTTGCTCTCCATTTTGTGCTTGCTAAGCTACTGTCATGTTGTATGCAGCTACTGCCTTGAATGCTGATTTGTTCAAGCGCTGACACACATAGCAGAATGATACCAAATAATGTACCGAGGTAAAAGTCTTTCAGGTTACTCACAGTGCCTGCCCACCATTCACCCTTTCACCTTTACAGTAAAGTTTATTTTTATTTTTATAGACCAATGAAAGTCGTGTTCTAAACCACATCAATGTATGCACTAAACAAATGTGATTTGGATGCATTTTGAGTGGGCTGACATACATTTTTGGGCATATATTTAATGTTGATGAGTTTGGTGATAGAGTCCAGTGTTTATTAGCAACATTAGCCTAACTCCCATTGTAAACTAAAGAAGAACATGTCAGGTACCAAACATGTTTTGGATGATCAAATGCATCTTGGGTAAGTGATAAATTATGTTAATTTGACTTTTCACCAAACTATTCCTGTAAGTGTGTGGCGAAAACTGCCCTGAGGTCAGCTGACAATCAGTCACTGCTGACTGGGTAGTCTTCTCACTGTTTTCACACTGAATCTCATAAAACCCTTCCCAAACTACCAAGCTCTGGACCTCAGTGTCATATTCAAAGGAACAACAATTCAAAAGACAAACACATCAGCAATGTGTATATTTACAGTCAGTCTGTGTATATAGACAGTAAGTCAGTAACTCACTGTAGTTTCTCAAGTGCACAGTCTGGATCCTTCAGTAGCTCAGATAGCAACTTCACTCCAGACTCTCCAGGATTATTATAGGTCAGATCCAACTCTCTCATGTGGGAGGGGTTTGATTTCAGAGCTGAAGCCAGCAAAGAACAGCCTTCATCTGTAACCATACAACCAGATAATCTGCAGAAAGGAAGGAACAAGAGGGACAGATGACATTTAGGCACAGCAACAGCCAGCTGCAGTAACACAGCAAGCACCAAATTTTGTGAAATATACTCTGATGTCAAACAGAACAGAACAGAACAAAAACACAATAAACTGACTCAACATCTGCACACTACTAATTACAACATGTTAACAGTTTCATTCCTATTCAGAGCTCCAGGACATATGATTAGGTAGACATTTTGAGAAGAAACAAGCAAAAACTATTTTTCTCTACAAAGTGATGATACAGACAAATAGAAATGCAGGAACTTACATAAACACTGTTAAAGTCAATTGAATTTGAGTCCAAAGGAAAAATTACCTGTGACCTTACCATAGGATCCAATGTCGGAGATGTTATATCTTAGATTACAACATCTAAGTAAACCAGAGACATTTTTTAATCAAGTGCTGTTGACTGATGAATAATGAAAAGTGGAACTTAATGGCCACCAGTGTTGAGGTAGTTATTCAAAATACATTAAAGTTGCTAATTATGTATCTTAACATTAAATATGATTACATTATTTATTAGTTCCTGGGAAAAGTAATCACACTGTATTTTATTTTGTACTTTTTTCATCTTTCTAGTTTACCTCATGGCAGCTTTGAAACCTGCAGTTCCACAGTTTGTATCGATCCCAGGGTGACCATGAGTTTCTGTTTTTAGGAGAATGCTTTAAGTTCATTTCCTTATATATAACCCAAATATGCCTAAGCTTTAGATTCTGATTCATGACTGCACATTTTCCTGCAGGATTTTGTGGTTTTAAAAATCAGAATTCATGATTCTGTCAATTATGAATTTAGCCACCCAGGCCCTGAAGCAGCAAACCATGCCCACACCATCACACTACCACTTCCATGTTTCATGTTCTTATTATGGAATGTTGGCTTAGTTTTACACCAGATGTAATTAGACCACTGTCTTCCAAAATGTTCCAAAGCAGCTAAAGAAACACCATTTCATGTTAATCATTCATCATTCAGATGCCCCTGAAAAATGCTGTTAGGCCAGGGCTGTTCACAGTTTACACAGCCTAATTACATATCTGTTTTTGAGAGTGTCAGAGTTGATTATTATTTCAAATCCGGAATTAATTCTCAGGAAGTTCACCTGAGTTTTTGCAGTTTACAGTGTAAGTTCTGCAGTCCAGCAGAGAGAAGCTCCACTCCTGAATCCTGCAGGTCATTGTTGCTGAGGTCCAGCTCTTTCAGGGATGTGTTTGCTGATTGTAGAGCTGATCCCAGATCTTCAGAAGCTTTCTCACCAAGGCTACAGATGTATAATCTGCAAACAGGCATTACAAAGTACTGAAAGGATTTCTGAATGAACTAACAGAAAGAAAAATCATATTTAGATAACATACTACAGTTTTTTATATTGCAGGTATGATCAGATTGAGTGAAACAATTCTAATATCCTTGAAAATCCTAAATAATGTAAATAAATAAGACAGAATATAAAAGTAAAATAAATAAAATCACAATCAATCTTATTAATTCTGTTATTTTATGTTCAAAGTGTATTGTACTTTATCATCTTAAAATTATTTTAATTCAGGAATTAATTTTCTGGAAGTTTACCTGAGTTTCTCCAGTTTACAGTGTGTGTTCTTCAGTCCATCAGAGAGCAGCTCCACTCCTGAATCCTGCAAGTCATTGTTACCGAGGTCTAGCTCTTTCAGACAAGTGTTTGCTGATTGTAGAACTGATGATATATTTTCACAGGAGATTGTGGTGAGACTACAGCCAGCTAGTCTGTAAAAGTCCAAGTAAATGCAGTACATGATATAATCATGGTAACTTTAATACAATTACTTTTCTCTCTGTGTTCTATTTTGTCTTTACATTCATAAAGAAGTACAATAGATATTCATAGCCTCATAATTAATCTGTCATTCTGTTTAAAACAGCAAGCTACCTGTTTAGTGACACAGAAAATTAATTGCCACAACAATCCAGCAAGTATGTGATACAGTTAAATTTCCAACAGATCATACAATATTACTGAAAGAAACATTTCTGAATAGATTAAAAGAATAAAAACAATATTCTGTCATTTTGACAGCACATTATACGTCAAGAATGTCAAAAACTAGGGAACTTCCAGGCCAAAGTCCTGCAGAGATGAACATTTACCCTTGTCTAATGCTCTGGATTCAGTTCATGAAGGCTTTGTTAATTAGCTGATTAGCTTAAACAGGTGTGTTTAATGTGTTTTTTGCCTGTGAGAACATTCTATTACACAATGTAATTTTATATTTCAAGCATGGCCAGATAAAATGATTCAGCAGAATTCTAAAAAATCTGAAATTAATATTAAATATTATACATAATACTGTTATTGTGAGGGTGAAATTTATTATGGTTGTCTTTTATTTTTAAATGAAAAATTAAATCATAGAAAGTTCACCTGAGTATCTCCAGTACACAGTGTAAACTCTTCAGTCCAGCAGAGAGCAGTTCCACCCCTGAGTCCTGCAGGTCATTATTACTGAGATCCAGCTCTTTCAGAGGAGAGATCACGGATTGTAGCGTTGCACAGAGAGTGTCACAGCAGTCCTTTGTGATATGACAGCCATTTAGTCTGCAAAAAAACAGCACAGCAGCAGAAAGAGACTAAGCAGAAATCAGAACATAATATTTCAGCTCTGCAGCCTTGCCACTGACTGCCATTCAACCCCAAAGCATAAACAGATCCACCCCCATGCTAAACAGTTGGCAAAGTGTTTGTAATTGAAATGTTACTTCATTTTCACTCCAAACAAAATTATGGTGATAATGGTGAGTTCAGTTTTTATCTTTTATCTAGCCCAGTATTTGATCAAAAATCTTCTGCTTTATCTAACTGTTGTGTTACAATGAAAATTACAAACAGTTTTTATATATCTTTTATAGTCATCTCTTGCTTTGTAAGAATCAATAATATTTAGCTTCAAATCCACATAGGTTTATATTGTTACATAATTTATAATAAAGTATGCAAAGAAACAGATGGACTACATGTAATTACAGAACTACAAAGTGCACCTATATAGTAAGTGGAGCTGATAAAATGGACCATGAGCATAGAAACAAAGAGGTTGTCATAATGTTGTGCCTGATCAGTGTGTAACACACCATAGACACAAACACCACAAACATGAAATGCCAAACCAAAAAAAAGAACGAGTAGTGTCGCAAAGGCAAGTGCTAAATACCATTCTACATTAGCCACCATTAGGCACATTAGGCACCAAACATTGAGCAGAGCATTAGGGAAGCATTACACGATAGCAGACCAACCATCTGAACCAACAACAGGCAGCCAGGAACCTGATGAATGTGATCCAACGTAGTTTCAGCTAAAAAGGTGCAGGAAATTGGCAGCAGAAGTGGTGTAGTTGCAGTTAAAAATGAGCAAAAATTACAGTCCAATGAGAAGCAGCAGCACCAACACGCACAAGTGTACTCTAAACTGTAAACTGAAAGCAGGGTTCGACAGGGTTCGGCCAAGGCCAGTAAAAAAGTATGTTGGTCAGGTTAATTCGCCAGTCACTGTCCCATTCAGGCCAGTGACAGTCGCAGTGGTTCATTAAAAGTACCACTGCTAGGTAGAGCGCGTCCTTTGCAGCGTCCTCAAACCTGAAGCGAACTTGTTACCATTTATGGTTGCCATCGTTGCAGTGTCCATGTGATATAAGCTCTCATGCAAGCACCTATAGAGCTGAACCTGCTCAGCAGATCTCCCTTTAAATTCATTAATTCTGAATGAAGCACCGCACATGGTGAGCAACATGTTTGGAGGTTCACAGCCATGTGCAATGACAGCACTTGGGTCATTTTTGGTGTTTGCCACTTACAATGCATCAACTATACACCTTGCTGTCCTCTGCTGTGCCAAATGATATGGTCTATTAATAATTTATAACTACAGCAGCATCATAATCTTTTCTTTGCCTCTCTCGTTGTTTGCCAGCTTTGCTAAAAAGTGATTTTTGGCTCTTGTTTTCAAGCCAGTAAAAATAAACAAGGGTCCAGTAAAACTCAGATTTACTGGCCTGGGGAGCCAGTGGGGGAAAAATGTTATGTTGAACCCTGTGAAAAAAATTTAAATTATGCTCTGGAATTGTCTACATCTCAGATGGATTAGAGCCTATTGAATCAAATAACCTCTTAGATTCCCATTACACTAGTGGATTGCCTGAAAGAACACATTTATATTGTAGTTCTATCAATTTTTTCAATATTGAGCTCCAAAGTTTGTACATTTCAAACAGCAAAATTGATGTGTAACATCTCTTTCAAACATGAACATTTACATCAAATTGCAGGTGCATAGGTCCTCTTAGACAGAAATACTATGTTCTCAAATGGAAATAACAGATAAAAAAAATTCAACATTTATGCTTCCCAGTAACTTCACAATAACAGACCTGGACAAATTGCATATATTTTTGAAAAGATTTAAAACACAGCCTATGCCACAAACTTTTTAAAGAATCTCTGCAAATATTAATGTACAGTTACTTTCCACTTGATTAACATTAAACATAGGCAAAGTAAAATAATTATGGAATGTGTAAATGTTTGGGCACCATATTAAGTCAGTACTTACTAACATCTCTTTTGAAAAATATCACAGCTTGCAAACACATTTTATCCAGCTAGAAGTCTTTATTCGTATTTTCTGTTCATATTTCTCAATTTTACCCATTCTTCCTTGCCGAACACTTCTAGTTCTGCTGTGATATTCATGATCTGTCTTCCTGCACTGCATGTTTAAGATCTACCCACAAATTTTCAAAGACATTTTCAATGAAGATTTTGGATCACTGTCCTGTTCTTGAAGCTAGAACCAGCCTCTTTTCAGCTTCTATTTCATGACTGACTGTGGCATATTTGCTTCCAAATTTACTGATATTCAATGGGATCCATTCTTCCATGGACTGCGCAGTATTTTCTGTGGTACCGGCTGCCACACAATGCCAAAGCATACTAGATCCACCTGTATGTGTAACTGTTATCCAGCTGTAGTTAAAATAGTTTCTGCAAAGGCTGTTAACTTTATTTCACTTCAAAAATCAACAAAATATGTACAGACCTAATTCCAAAAATGTTGTCACAGTATGCGAAATTTGGATAAAAAGAGAAAGCAGTGCTTTGTAAATTCACTTTGACCTACCTTTAAATAAAAGCAGTACAAAAACAAATCCATCATGTTCTGTATGTATAAGCTCATTCTAAAATTGATGCCTGTAATATGTTCCAAAAAGTTTGAATGATTCAGACGCTCACAGATGAAAAAAGAGAAAAAGGCTTTACTTGTAAAATCATGATCCAAAATTGTAGTCGAAAAACAGGCATAGATCAAATTCAAAAAAGACAGAAAATACAAGCAAACAAACATGACCAGGCAAACAGAGTCCAAAGGCCAAAGGCAAAGAGGGCATAGTCCAAAACACAGAAAGGTAGTCAGGATCCAGAAAAATGCAATACCTCACAATGACCGGGCTTTATACTACTCTAACTAGGCAAACAAAGACAAGAACAGGTGCAACAGAGTAGTATTCAGGGGAAGCTGAACGGTGATTGGTGCAGGGTGGAAGGTCATGAGTCACATGATCTCCCAGAGATTCTGGGAGATGGAGTCCATTGAGGTGTCAGGGCTGGAGGTCGTGACAGTCCACCACTTTGCCCAAAATGCATCAGTAAATAGTGCAACTGTTTAAAAACAGGATTTTAACCTCTGTAGTGTGTAATATTATGAAAAAATCCATATCCAAAAGTCCAGAAAAATCTCCTTGCTTAAAAAGCAAGGCCAAAAACCTGCTGCATATTTTACAACAGCATGGCTGCATGATAAGAGAGTGTAGGAGTTAGACTGGCTTCCCTGTCTCTTATTGAAATGTGTGGTTCTGAGTTTTGTCACAATATTGGATTTATAAACTTTGATACGACAGTTTAAAAAGTTGTGATATTTTCGATACCACAATATCAATGATAAAGTTTGCGACATTCTCCAATGTTTTCTTATTTGGGATTTGTGTATGGGTAAAAACAGATGCTACACACACTCAAGAGCACAAATGTGCGAACAATTCTGCGATTTAAGAACACGTTTTTAATCTGATATAGACTTTTCCTTATTAAATTTCTCAAGAAAAATTTAAGAAACATTCAGGAATATATTGGTGAATGGTGCCCAATGACTGTTTACACCAAATGTATTTTTTAAATGATAGCTAATAAAAGGTGCATACAGACTTCAAGGCTTTAAGTCATCAGGTTAAATTCCAGGTTAGCTTAGACCTACAGTAAAGATGTTAAGTCTTATCTACCAAGGGCCAGTGTAGTTGTAGGTTTTCAATCCACCTAAGCAGCAGTACCCTTTAACTCAAGCCAATAGGACACCCCTGTTCTCTCCTTTGATTAGACAGTGGTTACTCTAAGTTTAAATTGGCTAGCTGAGAAATTCTGCTTTATGAAATATCCCCTTGATCAGATGTCTGAAGTAGAACAAAGGAGGACATCAGTTGTGCTTCTGTTTGGTGGACATGAAAACCTGCAGCCAATGTCCAGGTAATATATGTTAATATATGTCTTTGCTGTAATTAATTTACCAAAGAGTGGTTGGGTAGGCTGGGAATTTGGAGGCTAAAATAACAATGCAGCACTATTAGTTTCATTCTTTTTTCTCTTCCACACTGATGTGTGATGTAGATCTGCAGTGTGATTACTGCTGGTCTAGTGCGGTCTGTCCATTTCTCTGTGAAAACTGTTGTACAGAATAACCACTGCAAATTATTTTTGTGGTTCTGTCTCATTCAACACAACTACTACACCTACCCCAAAACCGATTCTACTTGTTGCTTCTTCTGCGTAGTCTCAAACATCTGATCAGGTAGTATTTCATAAAGCAGATTTTCTCAATAAGCTAAGAAACTTATACCCAAAGTAGTCAATAAATCTGACTGAACTCTCTATGTAATAAAGAGTAAATGGTGTTGAATAAGTATAAAACATCTATGTTTTCATTAATAATGTTCATTCACTGTAACAGCTTGTAAGTCCTCCATAGTGGTTGAGACGTGTATAATTGAGATTGTTAGTTTCTGTTTCAGAGTACTAATGTGTATGAAGTTTCATAAGTTTGTTTTGAAACACATTATGCAGGTTAGAAAATAATAGCTGACACATGTGAAAGACTGAACTATGTAGTACTGAATTGTGGAGGTAGACTGTTTTTTATCATTTTTGATATCCGAATTCGGATTCGAATTTTCCCATTCCACCTTAAATGGTGCAGCAGTTACATGCTGGTGAACATGAATCTGAAGTCACCTTCCTATCTGAATAGGGCTGGAGGGGGGTTGGTCTTGACCTGGTCCTGGGTGAGGGGATGTGGGGTCCAGCACACCTCTGCTGAAAAAAATTCTGGAGGAAACACTGTGCCACTACAAACAGTATATTATTCAGTCCCAATAAACTGGCCAAGCAGTGTACCTGGACCACTTTATAATAACTAAAACTACAATAATTAAAACTATTTTTAATTGTCTAACTGATGATCAAATCTGCTCAACCCTAATCAATCATTAATAATCAAATATTAGTCTGTGGTATTAATGTAGATATAACACTCACCGAGCTTTCCTGCATACAGTCAGAGCTGGGATCAGTCTCCTATAACCCTCCTTTGATGTGTTGTATTTCTTCAGGTCCAGCTCATCCAGAACCTCCTCAGAGTTCACTAGCATATAGGCTAGTGCTGAACACTGTCCAGGAGAGAGTTTCACCTCTAAGTGTCTGTCTGATTTTAGATACTCCTGAAGCTCTCTGGAGAGAGACCGGTCATTCATTTCAGACAGACAGAGGAACAGATTGATGCATCTCTCAGTGGAGACGATGAATCTCTCAGTGGAGGTGGGATATTGATGATGATGATCATCATCATCATCATCATCATCATCATCATAATCATCATAATCATCAAAATCATCAAAATCATAATCATTTCTTTTGATTAAACTCTTGATGTGCTCTCTGGTTTCAGCTGAGCTGTTCTGTGTTGGTGTCAGTAGACCCTGTAGGAGTCTCTGATTGGACTCCAGTGAGATGCCCACCAGGAAACGGAGGAAAAGATCCAGGTGACCATTTTGACTTTCTACAGCTTTATCCACTGCTCCCTTCAGAACCTCATCCAGAGAAACATTCTCAGCCCACTCTCTGTTCAGTGGTTTAAATGTCTGCAGTTCCTCCATGTTCTTGTTCTCGTAGCACAGAAACACATAAACAGCAGCCAGGAACTCCTGAAAGCTCAGATGAACAAAGCAGTAGACCTTCCTCTGGTGCAGCACACATTCCTTCCTAAAGAACTCAGTGAAAATCCCAGAAAACACTGAGGCCTCAGTGACATCAATGCTGCTCTCTCTCAGGTCCTCTTCATAGAACATCAAATTGCCCTTCATCAGCTGTTTGAAAGCCAGTTCAGCCAGTTTCAGAAGAATGGTTCTATTGGACTCCAGCAGGTTCTTTGGGTCTCTCTCACATTTCTCCTCATACTTCTCGTTCTTAATGTTGGTCTGAGTGATCAGGAAGTATGAGTACATTTCAGTCAGAGTTTTAGGGATTTCTGTATGACGCTGTTTCATGACTTGCTGAAGAACAGTGGCTGAGATCCAGCAGAAGACTGGAATGTGGCACATGATGTGGAGGCTCCTCACTGTCTTAATGTGTGAGTTGATTCTCTGGGCTTGGTTTTCATCACTGATCCTCTTCCTGAAGTACTCCTCCTTCTGTGGGTCACTGAATCCCTGAATTTCTGTCACACGGTTGATGTATTTTGGAGGGATCTGATTGGCTGCTGCTGGTCGGGAGGTTATCCAGATCAGAGCAGAGGGAAGCAGCTCTCCTTTGATGAGGTTTGTCATCAACACTCCCACTGATGATGTCATGGTGATGTCAGATACTTTCTCACACTGTTCAAAGTTCAGTGGAATTCTGCTTTCATCCAGACCATCAAATACAAACACAGCTTTGATCTGATCATAAATCTCTGGGTCCAGATCTTTGAGCTCAGGATGGAAGTCACAAAGAAGTCCATGAAGACTGTATTGATCATCTTTAATCAGGTTCAGCTCCCGGAACGGAAGCACAAACATGAACCCTACATCTTGATTGGCTTTTCCTTCGGCCCAGTCTAGAATGAACTTCTGCACAGAGACAGATTTTCCAATTCCAGCGATGCCTTTAGTCAGAACAGCTCTGAGCTCTGGCTCTTTTGGTCTGTTATCTCCTTTTCTTTCTCTGTGTCTTTGAGCTTTACTTATCACAGCTCTGATGTCAGGACCTTGTAAAGCTTTAAAGATATCTAAGCAGTTGACTGAAGAGTCTTGTAAGTGTTTCCTGGGTGTTTTCTCCATCTGTAGAACCTCATGTTCTTCATTCACTCCTTCACTCTCTCCCTCTATAATGTAGAGCTGTGTGTAAATCCTGTTCAGGAGGGTTTTATTCTCTTCTGCTTTGATTCCCTCAAATAATTTCTCATACTTGTTCTTCATGCTGGTTTTGTGTCTATGAAGGACATCATCCACTGTGTAACGCTGGCTAATAGGAGTCAAAGACAATAAGAAGCATCAATAATTAAAAAATAAAAATTAAATTTCTGATCATTTACTAATTTAATAATACTAATTTAGTTAATGCTGAGGTGCACACACTGCTGAAGGCCCATGACTCAGCCTTTAGGGTGGGTGACAAAGTGGCCCTAAGAACAGAGAGGGCCAAACTGTCACAAGATATCAGAAAGGCGAAGCACATACACAATCAGAGAATCCATGGACACTTCCAAAATACCGGTGACATGCTGCACATGTGGCAGGACATTCAGGCCCTCAGAAACTAAAGGAAAACATCTCCCTCCTGTGACAGAAATGCCACCCCTTCACCCAGCGACCAGATACTGTGACAGTCCACTGCTCACGTGAGAAAAACTGCGCAGAGTTAGCATACAGAGGAGGTGCAGCGACTGACAGACTGGTGCAAAGTCAACAGTCTATATCTGAATGTGGACAAGACAGAATAGGTGGTTGTTGACTCCAGGAGAACACAGAGTGACCACTCTTTACTCACCATCAACAACTCCTCTGTGGAAATCACCTGGACCCTGAACACCAACTTTATAGCTAGGAAAGCCCAGCACCTCTATTTGGACGTTAAGGAAAGCTCCTCTCCCACCCACCATCCTTACCACCTTCTACAGAGGAGCTATAGAAAGCATCCGAAAAGCCAAAAGCATTTTGACTGACCCCACACACCCCTCACACAAACTGTTCTCTTTTCTGCCATATTGAAGAAGGTACCGCAGCATTCGGGCCCTCACAGCCAGACTGGGCAACAGTTTCTTTCCACAAGCCATCAGATTCCTCGACTGAATTGAAGGACACCCACATGGACCCACACACACATATACATAACAATATGAGACCAACTCACTCTCCACTTCCTGCAGTTCTAGATTATGTCTGTGGCACTGTATTTAAATATAAAATATTGCATTTCACTAAAATACTTCACTTAATATAATCTATATATCTGACTGTGCATTTTGCATGTTTTATTTCCTTAGCAATATCTGACTTGCATTCTTAAAAATGTTGGCTGCTAGAATTGCTGTAACAAACAAATATTGTATTCCACTGTTGCTTTGGTTGCCACATCAGTGACTGCTATGCTCATATATGCTAGGCTATCTACTAAGCTGCTAATATGTCATATTATGTTACATCCTCCTTTGCACAGCTCCACATACTCTCAGTACCATGTACTGCCTGTGTTCTGTTCTATTTATTGTAAGTGTTTCATATTTATTTATTGTACTGTATTGTCTGCACTGTGTATACTGTATTGTTTTGCACTTGTTTTCCTGTGTGGTCCTGGAGGAATGGTGTTTCGTTTTACTGCATAGTTGTATATAGCTGAAATGACAATAAAGCCTTTTGAACTTGAAATTTAGGTATAAACATGAGTTAAATAATGCTATCACTCCCTTTCTTTACATTAAGATGAAGCCACCAATGTATAAAAAGCTTTACAAACCACAAACACTTTACTTACATTGAGCAAAAGAACATACTATTTCCAACAAGGGGAAATAGGAAGGAACATGTTTACATACTCCATACAACTAGGGGTTGATACTGCCCTCTAGAAACTGGGCATGTAATTTCCTCAGTGGCAATGACTACATATAGTCATAAACTTCTTTTTTTAACAGACACAGTAAATCTTTATAACCCATCTTTTCCTCCAAAAAACTCATATAATCTGTAGATTTTTTCTGCTCTTCTTTTCAATTTGGCCCTCATTTCTGAAAGCCAGATTTGCGATTTTCGGTGGAATTTTCATATGAATTAAAAACAAAAGCACTTGTTCTCAACTTACACAGAAAGCAGAGAGATGGAAGACAGTTTTACTGTCGATGCTGTATCTAAAACTTCTTTTAATTATCTTCTAATAAATTATTTCAAATAAAGTGTTTCAATAAAGAATCTTCCAGTAAGCTTAAAAGTCACTGCCTTACAGTACCCCTGAATATATAAATTCAGAAGATAAATAATTGTCCTTAATGTTTCACTCTTTGTGGAGTTCACAGCAATAAATGTTCAGGCATGGACCATCGCTCTTCTTACACACAGGTCTGGAAACTGGAGAAACTGCTCTTTGGGTTTCGGTCCTGTTAATATGAAATATGTGAAAAACTCCAGCTTTTACAAACTACAACAATCTACAACATGTAGGACAGAGCTCAGAAATATGTTTACAGTGCTTCACTCTCAGAACTGTTGTTTACTTGTAGCAGTTATTTACCCTGTTTCAGTGGTTCCTTTCCTTCTACTGCTGAATCCTTCCATGGACCGGTACCTCTTCTCAGACACACAGTTGGGTTCTGAAGATCCTGCACGCTTCCCTCTGAGAAAAGTTCATCCACAGTGAGATTTAAGTGCTGAGTAATTATATCCTTTACTAAGACTCATTTATTCTGATCATAAGTCATGATTTCCTTTTTCTTGTTAATCAGGTTAAGAGCTGATATAAAGATACTCACTTTGAATCAGAGGTTCTTCCTCCACTGCTGGAGTGATGAAGCTCCATCACTGAGGTTTTACTCTTCACACTGCAGATGCTGCTCTCTGTGAACAGATCATTAATGTAACATGAAAAAGTACCTGGTTAATAAATATAACTGATACAACTTGTTACATATGAAACTAAAATGTTATTATACAGATGACCTGAGCTTTAAATAAACTGTATTTACTGATGGAATCTCAGTATAAATCAGTTGAACTGATCACCTCTATAATCATGATAATCATGATCAATAATGTTACTGTCTCTCTCTGATCAGTTCATTATTAATAAACTTAATAAGCCTCAGGTGAGGCTGGAAGTGAGGAACACTTCACTGCACCATTCATGCTGTAAACTCTCTACCTCAGTAGAACCATCCTTCTCTCTGGATCTTCACTGACTCCTCATGGACTCTTAGCTGAGATCAGGTGAGTCTGATCTCTCTGAATCAGACTGAAACAGAACAATGGAAGATGATGATATTGGAGTCATATGTGAAGAAAACGATTAATATACACTGTGGAGTGTAAATTGTATAAACAGTAAGATTTGACAGTTTATCATGGTAAAAGTTCATTAAAGTACTTTTTTAATTTTAAATGCTTATTTATTAATATTCTACATACAAGGGGTTACACGTCAGCAGAGCTGAGCACGGACAAACGAGTCATCCACAGCTCAACTACAGCATAAACAACAAACGAGTCACCCAGTTGTTAGCAATAAGCTGTTAGCCGTTAGCATCTTTTACCCAGAATAGAAGTCTTTAAGAAGCTCATTCTGAACTATTTATAACCAAAATGTGGTGATTTCCATAAATTAAAGGTTCTCCTCACAGAAAGAAGCTCTGAGGCTCTAAAAGCTTAGCTTAGCTTAGCTTAGCTTCAGTTATCTGACTTTATCAAACAGAGCCTTTCAGCAGAACCTAAAACAGAACCCAGCAGCTGTTCCTCTCAGATCAGTGTGGTTCTCCTTGTTCTCCTCAGTGAACTGTGAGTGTTGATCTTCAGTAATTACCTCTGAGCTTTTCTCTGTTTATGATCTCTTCTCTGAACAGACGCGGCTCCACTTTCACCTTCACTCTAAACTGTTTTGATCTGGTTCACCCGGGCGCGCGCACCAGCCAACGCCCAGCAGCGCTGAACTACAGAAAGAGAAAAGGTTCAAAACACGTTTGTAGGGCCACGTGTGTTCATCCAATCGGACATGAGCAGCACAGACAGTATTGATCAGTTCGACTGATTACTGTTTAGTGGGATTAAAATAATGTATTTCACTGAATCTCAATGATGCTGTTTACCTGTGTTATTTTACCATCGCCATAAAAAAATTAATAAACAAATACACAGATAGATAGATACATAGATAGATAGGTAGATAGATAGATAGATAGATAGATAGATAGAATGGCAGATTCTGTGGACAATATAAATTTATAAAGACTGCACATTCAAGAATTTTTGAAAGGTGAGAAAGGAGTGATACCGGTCTGTAGTTGTTGACATCAGAGCTGTCAAGCATGGGCTTCTTCAGGATGGGAAGTACTCTTGCAGTCTTGAAAGTTGATGGAAGTCACAAACATTTTTTTTCCTACAGTTGCTATGTTCCATGCTTCAGGATCTTGTTTTTATATGATTTCTTCTTTGCATTTTAGAGTTTTAACTTGCATCTGTGGATGCAGTGATGAACAATTTTCAGTGTTTTTCAGAAGTGTTTCTGAGTCCATGCAGTGATTTCCACTACAGAATCATGTCTGTTTTTAATGCAGTGCCGTCTGAGGGCCCAAAGATCACGGCCAGCAAATACTGGTTTTTGGCCTTGTCCCTTACATACAGAGATTTCTCCAGATTCTCTGAATCTTTTAATGATATTATGTACCATAGATGATGAAAAGCAAAAGTTCTTTGCTATTTTATGTTGAGAAAAGTTATTCTTGAATTGTTGCACTATTTGTTTGTCCAGTCTTTCACAGAGTGGTGAACCCCTCCTCATCCTTACTTCTGAAACACTCATTAGTTAACCACCAGGTGTTTTTTTAGCATTACACAACTTTACCAGCCTTTTGCTGCCCCCACCCCAACTTTTTTGGAATGTGTTGATGGCATCAAATTCAAAATGAGCATATATTTTCAACATTTGATTTATTGATTTATTGTCTTTGTACTATTTTTAATGAAATACAGGGTTTAAATGCACATCATTACATTTTTTTTTTATTTACATTTTGCTCAGCATCCCAACTTTTTTGAAAATGGGGTTGTATTTGTAGGCTGTCATATTAATTGGTCAAATTATGTTTTCATTTCACATGTATGAATTAAAAAATAGTAATGGATGGTAATGTCTCATTAACACCTATAGGCTTATACACACTCAGACACACATGGTACAGTATGTAATGCTATGCTATGAGGACAATTTAGCTACTTCCTAACAAGTATTAGGACACAGTTAGCATCACACTAACTAACCTGGGGTTTTGGTACTGTTATCTATAAAAACGCTACCTAGCTATGTCGCTAGATAACTGATGGCTTTATGCTTTCCTGAGTTTAGGAACTACTAGTTACGTTAGCTATCATCATAATAGCCTCACTGCTCCGGAGCAAATCTTAAAAAAAGCAACATTCACACACCACACATGTCTTTGGCGTTCTTTAGCATGTGGAAGTTCTCATTTAGATAGCGTGTAATTAAACAATGTGCAAATATTAATAGTTACATGCATATTTCCCATCTACAAACGTTCCAATTTGGCAGTGCCTGTGAGCTACAAGCATTAGGGCAGGAGTTTCCAGCAGGGTTCATGTACTGCAAGGCCCCCGTACTGCAAAGGTTAGCGTTTTTCTTTTCCTAACACTCTGAATTCACTTTATGAAGACGTCTTTAAATAGCTGATGAGTTGAATCAGGTGTCTTTGATGAGAAGGAGGAACACTAACGTTAAACTACAAAGGAGGAACCTGCTTTGGAGTGACCGCTCGGTGAACATTGGTTATTTAGACGCAAATGCTGAGAACTTAAAATGAAATATTGTTTTATTAAAGAGGCCCCAGATTTTTGTTTTAGACAGGCACTTTTCACTGTCACTCCCTTTTTGTACATTTCAGTCTTTTGTCCTTAAAAGGGGAATTCCACCATTTTTTCTAAACTTATAAATATTTTGTTCTCAAGACAATAATTCAAATGGTTTGACATGGAATGATTAATTGTAGAGAAACATAGAGTCAGATTTCTTTACAGTGGTGATGATAAGAACCAGGGGTTGCCATGACTACAACACAAATATGTTTTATTTACTATTCAAAAATGTAAGAAATGGTTTTCTTTGTCCCTTTCTCTGATCCCACCTTAACTTCCCTTTATCTAGATGTTCTCCGTCGGAGCTCCGGGAGTGCGCTAGAACAAAAGACACACTCAGGCGCACTGATGTTCAGAGACACACTCATTTATCATGTAAGGATATAATACTGTGCAATGTAATTACAGTTTATTTAATTAGATATAGATATAGAAATCCCCAACCTTTGATTCATATAACCCAGCAATATAGTTAAAAGTACACAGTTGTTAGATATATTGTTTATGAATCCAGAACCTTTAGCCAACTGTGTTTTGCACACAGGGGAATTAGACCTCTGCATTTAACCCATCCGTGTGGTGAAACACCCACATAAATGCACACTAGTAAACACACACTAGAAGGCAGTGAGCACACTTGCCTGGAGCGGTGGGCAGCCCTATCTACGGCGCCCGGGGAGCAGTTGGGGGTTGGGTGCCTTGCTCAAGGGCACTTCAGTTACGTACTGTCAGAATAACAACCCTCTAGGCTGGGTCAGTTTTACCCAATGCTGTGTTTGTTGAATATTGACCCAGCACAGGGTTATGAAAATGACCCAAATTGGGTCAATTTCCACCCAACCTTTTTTTTAGAGTGTAAGGCTTTAATCCTAATGTTTCTAGTGGCCTTTTTAGCATGGATTCGATGTAAGATTTCAGATAACAGAGGGATTTCTGTTCAACCAGGAATTACTCCAGACACCATGACATTTTGCTTTTTTTTTACCAGTTTCTCATTTGAGTTTTCTGTTACACCTTAAATCATACAGGTTCCAGAATGTAACTGCTGAACCATTTAACGTGGAAGAGATTCAAATGAAAAGCTGGTGAGGTGGTCAGTGTGTTCAGCTGAAGCTGCAGTAGAACTCTAATTAACAAACCAAATTCTTAAAGCATGTTTTCATTCTAGAATCAAACTTAGTATCATCTTTTTTCTAAGCTGGTTATCCTCCTGGGTTGTGGGGGGTGCTGGAGCCTATCCCAACAGTCAATGGCCGGAAGGCGATATTTCATTACGACAGTTTCATATTTATTGCCAAATACAGCACTGTACCTCACAGTCTCATGCTCTATGAAATTTCAGATGACGTAACTGAGGCTGCATCTGTAACTGAGGCTTCTATGTTTGATATACTGCACTAATGAACACACTTCTAAACATGGCGCTCTATTTTATTACACACTAGTTAGTGCTGTGGTTAACTAGTGAGGCTCAACACGACGATACCAGATTCAATTCAATTCAATTCAACTTTATTGTCATTATACTGAAACAGGGTTGTACAGTACAACGAAACACTTTTAGGCTAGATCTCCAGTGCAATTACAGACAACATAGTGCAAGACAGAACATAGTGCAAGACAGGACATAGTGCAGGGACATAGAACAATAAATACAGAAAATAAATACAACTTACAGCGCTTACCGATCTCTAGCAGCGTTTCTCTGTCGTAGACGATGCTCGGTCTGCACATCTTGTACAGGCAGTTCAGTAGACAAACAAATAAAACAGAAATATAAACAAAAAGTTGCACGTAGCAGTAGCGCTAGCCAGCTGCAGCCGTCGCCTGGCGCTGCCGGAACACTAGTGCACAAATCCTGAGATCACTGATACTCACTGCTCTCTGGATTTGGATTATATTATCAATAAATTTGTCCAAAAAATTAAGTTATCATGATGACTGCTGATACATACCTCTAGATGCTAATCCCCAGGCGCTGTGGATAGGGCTGCCCACCGCTCTGGGCAAGTGTGCTCACTGCCCCCTAGTGTGTGTGTTCACTAGTGTGTATGTGGTGTTTCACTGCACAGATGGGTTAAATGCAGAGGTGAAATTTCCCCATTGTGGGACTAATAAGGGTCACTTAAACTTAATAATGTAACTGCCTCGGGCTATTTGCTAACTGTCATTAGCAAAAAACAGGATGCCTATCCAGGTGGAGTGTTTTTAATAGCAGATGATTTCAACCAAGCAAATTTCAAGGCAATGCTCCCCAAATTCTATCAACATGTCCAGTGTCCCATGAGGGAAAAGACATATTGGACCATGCATATAGCAACCTCAAACATAGGTTCAAGGCATCACCTCTCCCACATCTGTATTGGTCTGACCACATCTCTCTGTTTCTGATTCCAACATACAGACCACTTATTAACATGGTCAAACTAACTGTGAGAGACATTCAAGTGTGGCCAGAGGGAGCTTCTGAGCAGCTCCAGGACTGCTTCAGTAGCACTGATTGGACTATAATTGAAGAAGATCACATTGATACCCACACAGCTTCTGTACTGTTTTATATAATAAACTGCTTGGACCTCACCAAAACAAAACAAATCCATGTCATTCCCAACAACAAGCCATAGATGACAAGGGATGTTCAGCTCCTTTTAAGGGCCCGCAACAAGGCTTTTCACAACAGCTGTATAGTGCAGCCAGATCAGACCTGAAGAGGGGAATCAGAGATGCCAAAGCAGCCTACAAGCAAAAGATTGAGAGCCACTCTGACAGCTCAAATTCCCGCTGTGCATGGCAAGGTATACGTCACATAACCAACCAAAACAATAATACCAACCCAGCCACCAAAAGCAGCAGTTTCTTACTGACAGAACAGCTCAACCGCTTTTTTGGCCACCATGAGAAAGTGAGACCAGAGACTGCCATGGCCACCACTCTTGCTCCAGGTCCAACAGCCAGGTGACGTCATATGCACACTCTGGAAGATCAACATGGGGAAAGCAGCTGGCCCAAATGGTGTCTCAGGACGGGTTCTCAGAGACTCTGCCGCAGGACTAGCTGAGGTATTTACAAA